TTTGATTGCAGATGATGCGAGCATCGTCGATCGAGTTATTGATCGTCGGCCTGTCGCTATTGCGCTTCGTCGATCCTATTCACAACAGTAACGTTCAGAGATCTTATTCGGTGAGCTATGACCCGTCTGTTCCTTCTATTACGCATTCGGAATTGCATAATGTTCGGAATGTTCGCGAAGGATACGATTCCTCGAGCATCGACAAGCATTTGCCACGCGCGAGCGAAGAGAAGGCTGTTGACAGTTTGGATTTGTTGAGTTATCCTGAAAGAATATCGAAAGAAACGGTATTTCTGCCAATACTCGCTATACCGATGGAATATCGTAGTTATAGAAATTATGGGCTGAACGATCGTTCGAAGAAGGAAGATGAGATAAATTCCAAAGAGGAAGATAAAGAGAGTAGCTCGATCGAGGGAGAAATTATAGAAAAAATGAAAATTCTCGATAAATTTTTATCCGAAGATTCGAATGCAAAGGATTTTGATGTAAATGGAATCGAGGATAATATCATCCCTGAAGAGTCGAAGAGAGTCGTCAGAGAGGTGAAGAAGCAAAAGCCAGGATTCTTTTGGACTCTGGCAAAACTCACATTTGAGGTAAAGTTTATTGTGATTCATCTTTCGTTCGAAACTGATATAAAATAAATTCCATTCCTTTTCAGATGATCAACGACACGAAATCAGCGATCAAGCAAATCAGTGATATTATCAACAACAGTATAGCGCCAGATTCGGCCACTCAGAGTACGATGACGAAGGCGGCTTTGACGGCTCCACAATCGACGAACAATGAAACGAACGCGAGCAATCTGAACGCAACAGAAACAACGACAGAAGCGTCTACGACTACCACGCAACCCACCTTGACCAGAGACGATTTGCAAAAATTAATCAGACGAAACGTGTTGGGCCTCGTTAGACTTTTCAACATTGAATGGAATGACGCCCTGAACGTAAGACAATTTTTAATTTATTCTTTACTTACTTTCTTGAAAATTTCCTTCTGATGCTCTGACATCGTTCGCTTTCTTTTTTTTCTTTTTCTGAGATTTATTAGTTCGTTTTTTCTTCGATTTTTTGTAAAGATGAGTATTCGAGGGAATAGGATTAAATTACTATTCAAATTGTTAAAAATTAATTGAATATTTTGTAGAACTGCTTCTTTAACGTATTAGATTGTACTACATGAAGTTGCCGATTTAGAAAATTACAATCAATTGCGACTTGTAAACTTAACCTATATTTTGCTTAGCCTATATTTTGATGAACCTTCTATATTCCTTTTGTGATAAATTCTTTTTTGTATCAGTTTAGATGTTTTTTGAGAAGTGAGAAAATTTAAAATATTATTCGTATGACGAGTTTAAACTGGGTCAGCCGAAACATATCGAAATATTAGATTAACTTTCGAAAAAGACTCTATCAACGAGAGAATCGTTCAGTGATGATTTCAAAAATTCAGATCTCATAACAAATGAGAATCTTGAAAATGAATCCCAAAATTAAATCTTAATCTATCCACTCATCAGGTATTTCACTTGTTTATCACTTGTTTCATTACTTACAATCGTTTTTAAAAAATATTTTGATTGAATAAAGATTATAGTTTCGAAAATAAACTATTTTTCTTCCGACCAACAAAATAACAATTTCATGTAATACGATCTAATATTATCTTCTATGTTTATTAAAGATTCAAGGAGAACAATTTTTTTCATTTAAATTATTTTAAATTTCTGGTTATTTTTCTTGGATCCAAATCTTAATCCATTTCTATTGTAAATTAATTAATAAAATATTAATATTTGTATATTCTCTCTTTCCAGCAATCAGAAACGAACGTGAAAGAGTTCCAGAAGAATCTAGGAAACCAGGTGGGACTTTATCTTCGTGATAATCCAGAAGCGTACAAGGATTTTTAAAGAATTCTTCTCCACAACGATCCTTAGTATTCATTCTCGTAGCACGTAGTTAGCAAAGACTGAAACGTATTATTTTAAAAAAATTATTATTATTTATAAAATTGTGGTCCTCTAATCCACAAGAACATGTAATTATTTACCATTCGAATTAAATCAGAGTTGAAAATGAATCAAATTGTTATAAAAATGACTCCAGATGATTTCAGAAAAGTTTACCAACAAGTTATATCGTAGTAAAAGAGACGAAGACGGTCGAGAAACATTTCAAAAACATTCACAAAAGATCTTACGTCATCTATTAAAGATCATCGTCCGATATTTATGTAACGCAGACCCCACGCACTCGGATAACTAGTGAAAGAGAAAGAACTCTTAGGGAGTTAAGGCGCGAATTCGAGAAAATGATTGCGACGAATAGAAAGCACGATTGGCGGGTTTCGATTGGTTGATATGAGGCGTGGGATTACTTGATTCGCTTATATGTGGATCACGGAGACGAGTCAGCAACTGTGTGTGATCAGTGCTCTTCTGTGCGAATCGCGAAAGTCGGATTTCTACATTTCTAAACGAGGGTTGTAGATATATATATAAATCATAGTGAGTATAACGTACGTTAATTTTTGCATATTCGATAAGTCATTACGAGTAATTTATAGTTTCGGTTGTTAAAATTTATTCATCGTAAAATATGAAAAGAAAATTGAATCGTTAAATAAAATGGATGTCGTAAATTAACATTGTCGTATATAATTGTATATAAATTTTACAAATATAAATTTTTTTGAAATAGATTATTTCAAAATATGATTCTTGCTATTCAAGCCTATTGAAAGTAGGCTTTTTGAATATTATTAATATCTTATCGAAACTAGATTTCTAAAGATCATATTAATTATACGATGACCCAATAATAATTCTGTTTACGATATCGCGTATGCAAAAATAACACGATCTCTGAGGAAAGAGAGAAAAGGCGGGGCTGAAAATCAAGATTAGTGGAATAGAAAGGATCAATGGTCAATATGTACTGGATTTTAAGAGCATCGTGATTGGTCGATTCGCACTTGAGGGATCCTGAAATCATCCTTTATAGACCAGAGGATCGTCGACACGTCTTGTAGTTTGTGGATTAAGGAACTCAGTGGACAGTCAAAATTTACAGCAATGTTTGCAATCGTTTTCGTTGTTCTTAACATCATCGTTTACGCGATTGCCTCGGAAGTGGTAAGTTATTTTTGGAGATTAAAAAATTCAAAATTTGAATTCAGAGTCGATATTGATATTTTGAAAACAAGAAAAGAAAAAGAAAAGAAAAACGTTAATATGACGTATTTTTAATTTTTTTAACATGATAGAATTTTTTTTTACGTGATAGAAACGCAAATAGAAACATAATACAAAGCAATAACGTTTGTTTAAAACAACGTACGCTGACATTTCGATTATCGGTTGTCAAGCGGAATATTATTCGACGTTCTTTATATGTAGAAAAGAGAAAGCTGTCGAGAAAATTATTCTCTCTCCGTATTTACAACTTCACAATAGTATTTTCTTAATGTAGAATAATTTTATATTCTAATAATTTTGGACACTTGTCCACCTACGTATATACTTGTTTTGAATTTACTATTTCAGCCGATCCTTCATCGAATAAGACGACAAGATTTTTCAAACGAAAATGGTCAAGTGATAGACAAGATTTTTAACGTGAGTTATAAAAATATTCAATCTTTTTCCTCGTCTTTTCGTTTTCAACAAAATTTAATTATTCCAGATACCAATTACCGCGATCAAACAAACTGCAACCGTGGCACAATCGTTCAATCAGGAAAATTCTCAGACGATCGACAACGTGTTCAAGGTATCGTATCGTACTTACAATCCATCCTATCGATTCTTATATTAACTCGTACGAATATTCCGTAGATTCCTATTTCGACTTTGGAAGCTGTTGGAACCCTCGTGAAGGCGACATCCGAGCAAAGACGACGGAATGCCGACGATGCGCAACGAATACGGCAGGAGAGAAGAGACAGAATATCGGCCCAAAGAGAACGGCAAAGATTTCAAAGAGAGCAATTGCAACAACAACGTCTGAAACAACAACTCGTGAAGAAGACCAAAAATAATAACAAAGATCCTTTCGATTTGAACACATTGTCTCTGTTGTTTAGCAATCATGGTGTTCTAGGAAGTATTCAAGGAACGTTTGGTGGGTACAAAGGTAGTCATGGTGATCAAGGTATACACGTCTGTAATTCGAAATTAAATATTCAACGTTAAAAAATGTAGATCTTCCATGTAAGATATTTTGTAGAAATTCATGGAGGTCAAGGAAATGCAGGGGGTTATCAAGTTCACGAAGATATAGAAGAAGATACGAACTATTCTTGGCACGGAATCACAGCCGGAATCGGTACGTTTTCCGGTTCTCGACCAACCAGCACACGCGTCACCATACAAAATAAGATCGCCGTTAAGGACGAAATACCAAGCGATCATCCTTACGATACGGAACAAATACAGAACAAGATCGCTCCAAAGATCAAAGGGGATAAATTGAGACACGAAGAAGACCTCCCACTGCAGAACAAAATTGCACCCAAGACGAATAGGATATCGTTCAGATCGTAAAAATAATTTTAAACATATAAAATAAATAGAATTTCTTTTTCACGACAATTCGTACGTGACCAATTGAGTGGAGCAACGTATTAATCGTTTCTATTGGCTAATTTTCGCTCTAATCGATAGCCGATAAGTACGTGAGTCACGTCGCATTGTTTATGCAAATAACGAAATGATAGAACGATGATGATACTCGGAGAAAGTAAGTTGCAACAGAAATTAGTAATATTAGTAATATTATTTTTCGTTCCATGAAATTACGGATTATGGAAATGACTCGACGAATTTTCTCGATCCACGGTCTTCTTCGATCCACGAATCTCAGAGTCACGTTTATACCGGCGAAAAATTGCGCCTGTTCGAACGTTAAAATGCGCGAGTCGTTCCCGCGATACGGAAAACATTTTGAATGTAGCATCACTCAACTTGAATAACGAGAAGCGACCAACTTATATATTATGCATTGGATATTCGAATAAAATTCTTCTTCTTCTTTTCTTTTTTTTTCTTTTCTTTTCTTTTCTGTGCACGATTGATATTCCATTGAACCCCTGACAGAGGAAGATAGGCGCATATTAAATGAGCAGAAAATAATTTTAAAGAATGGGATTCGTGGTTCGTTTCTATGAACAATTACGTTTTTCTTTTTTTTTATTTGTATATACAATATAAAACATTATGGATAAATCTATGATAAATGATAATTAATCCATGACGGAATATTAAATTATTCCGCGATTTCTTTGCACTTATTTTAAACGTATCGTGTTCACAAGGTTAAATGATTCATATGGATTAGTAATCGTTTGAAAAAAAAAAAATAAAATAAAATAAAATGCATTTTTTAAATATTATACTCGCTATTATATTTGTGAAACACATTAATTAAAAGTATTATTTTCGGATAATTAAAATTCTGAAGATACGATAAACGATGTTTAACGATAAAGATAATAATATGCGCAAAATTATTCGTTATATATATATATATGATTTGAATGTTAATGGAATTTTTAAAAAGTGATTTATCAATTTAACCGAACGAAAAGAATTATTCATGTGTAAATAATTTAAATTTCTTTTTTTCAAAAGTTTAATGTATGGAAGAAACAAATAACGCTCCAACTTTTTGATTCAACTTTGATACAGGAAATTATCTAACATTGCTTCTCATTTTTTTTTTTTTTTTTTT